CCTCCTCCCCTCGCCTCCCCTCGTCTCCTCCCCTCGTCTCCTCCCCTCACCTCCTCCCCAAACCCGTTCTCTGTGCATCAGCAGCACTCCAAGTGCATTTCTCCCTGGAGGCGGTCCAGGCTGCTGCTCTCTGCAGGAATGCTTTTCCTCTTGGCGCCCTTCCTGTCATCCATTTCAAAGTTTCCCCTTTCCGGAATATACAGATGGAGAGAGAGTTAAAAGACCCCTCAGCCAATCAAAATGCACCCGTGTGATTTGCAACCTGATTCAAACCGTGAAAAACCCCAAACCACAACCAACACAGAATCAGCCACGGATCATATTTAATGGGATGATTTGAAATGTGAATAATTACCAGATATTTTATGATATGAAGAAATTATATTTTTAGATGTGATCATAGTATTGTGATTACATTTTCTTAAAAAATTTGCCTCAGTGAGGTATAATTTACATAAAACAAAATTAGCCCACTTTAAATATAGACTTCAGTGTGAATTCCATATTCACATTGAAATGAAACCATATGGTTACATATAAAAAAGGAGTTCTTAAGCCAGATGCAGTGGCTCATGCCGGTAATCCCATCACTTTGGGAGGCTTGGGCAGGAGAATCCCTTGAGCCCAGGAGTTTGAGACCACCCTGGGCAACACAGTGAGACCCTATCTCTACAAAAAGGGACAAAAATTAGCTGGACATGGTGGGGTGCGCCTGTGGTCCCAGCTACTCAGGAGGCTGAGTTGGGAGGATGGCTTGAGCCTGAGAGATTGAGGCTGCAGAGAGCTGTGATTGCAGTACTGTACTCCAGCCTGAGTGACAGAGTGAGATCCTGTCCCCAAAACACAAGTCCTTTACCTCTAGAGATCATGCTGTAATATTTACAGATGAAATAATACAAAAGAAAAATATAATAGTAATTAAGGGTAAATAATAATACAGGAAGGGGGAGTAGGCACCCATAGGGAAGCGAGTTAGACCGTGAGTTGATGATTGCTGAAGATGTAGGTTTTTTGTTTGTTTGTTTGTTTTTGAGACAGAGTCTCACTCTGTCACCCAGGCTGGAGTGCAGTGGCACAACCTTAGCTCACTGCAACCTCTGCATCCCAGGTTCAAGTGATTCTCCTGCCTCAGCCTTCTGAGTAGCTGGAATTACAGGTGCATACTGCCACGCCCAGCTAATTTTTTGTATTTTTAGTAGAGATGGAGTTTCACCACACTGGCCAGGCTGGTCTTGAACTCCTGACCTCAAGTGATCTGCCTGCCTTGGCCTCCCAAAGTGCTGGGATTGTACACGTGAGCCACCGTACCCAGCCAGCTGAAGGTCTTTATACAGTTCTTTTTTTTTTTTTTTTTTTTTTTTTTTCTTTGAGTCGGAGTTTCGCTCTTGTTGCCCAGGCTGGAGTGCAATGGCGCGATCTTGGCTCACTGCAACCTCCGCCTCCTGGGTTCAGGCAATTCTCCTGCCTCAGCCTCCTGAGTAGCTGGGATTACAGGCACGCGCCACCATGTCCAGCTAATTTTTTGTAGTTTTAGTAGAGACAGGGTTTCACCATTTTGACCAGGATGGTCTCGACCTCGTGATCCACCCGCCTCGGCCTCCCAAAGTGCTGGGATTACAGGCATGAGCCACCGCGCCCGGCCTTTATACAGTTCTTAATATTTTTGCTATATTTACGTTTTCCATTACAAATGTTTTTACAAAGTTTTCCTCCCGAGAGGTCTTTCCTGACTGTGCTTACTAAAATAACACCTCATACATACCCTCTGCAAGTCACTCTTATTTGAAATTCTGCAACTTTTCCTAGTGGGAAGTTTATATGACTCATGGGTCCCAAAACCTGGAAATGCCTGGCACATAGTAGGTGCTCAATAAACATTTTTTGAATGATGAATGGATTCTCCCACTCCCTCAATCATTCCTCAGCATATATTGGCCACATTCTACATCCCTGGCACTGTGGACAGCCACACTTACAAAATGAAAGGACCCCAGGCCAAACTTCTTTGACCAGATGGGGAAACTGAGGCCCAGAGGGAAAAAGATACTTGACAGGGGTCTCACAGCTTGGCAGCTGGATGGGGCCAAGGGCACCTAAGCCAAGGGTTTTCTCCACCTTCCCCTTTCCTGTCCTGGTTAAGGGAGCTCTTGACAGGGACTGCCTGGTGGTAACCTTCATGTCCTCTTGCAGGCTAGCTACCTGGTCTCCAGAATGGACGGGCCTGTGGTGGAGCATGCCAAGCAGGAGCCCTTCCACGTGGTCACGCCTCTGTTGGAGAGCTGGGCGCTGTCCCAGGTGGCAGGCGTGCCTGTCTTCCTCAAGTGTGAGAATGTGCAGCCCAGCGGCTCCTTCAAGATTCGGGGCATTGGGCATTTTTGCCAGGAGGTGAGGGTGTGTGGGCAGGAGGGGAGAAGTGAACGATACAGGAGGGAGGGAGGAGTGAGGGGTGTGGGCTGGGGATGGATTCAGGCAGGAGGGAAACATGAACGCATGCAGATGGGAGAATAGAGGCGAGGGCAGGGCTGTGGGCAGGATGAGGGGTAAAGGCGTGTTGGGAGTGGGGTAGGGAGATTCTAACCCCATTCCACACAGGCCTTCATGACACCAGCTTGGGTTGGCCCCTAACCCTATTCCTTCTCTTCCCAGATGGCCAAGAAGGGATGCAGACACCTGGTGTGCTCCTCAGGTGACCCCGCCCTTTTTTTGTTTCATGGGGGTCCTCAGGGCAGAGGTTGGGGGAGGAGGAGCTATGGAGCAGCAGTAGATGTTCAGGGCTTGGTCTCCTCTTAAAGGCCCCAGCCTCGATGGACAGGCGCGGTGGCTCAAGCCTGTAATCCCATCACTTTGGGAGGCTGAGGCGGGTGGATCACGAGGTCAAGAGATGGAGACCATCCTGGCCAACATGGTGAAACCCCGTCTCTACTAAAATACAAAAATTAGCTGGGCATGGTGGCGCATGCCTGTAGTCCCAGCTACTCTGGAGGCTGAGGCAGGAGAATTGCTTGAACCCAGGAGGCAGAGGCTGCAGTGAGTCGAGATTGTGCCATTGCACTCTAGCCTGCAGCCTGGCAACAGAGCAAGACTCTGTCTCAAAAAAAAAAAAAAAAAAAAAAAAAAGGCCCCAGCCTCATCAAGTAGGCGGCTACTGTGTTTCCCATCCTAGCCCTCTCCCATAGTTCAGGACTCACGGTGGCAGCAAGTGCCAGAAACACAATTCATATAGGTTTAAGCTACAGGCTCTGAGAATGGCAAATTCTTGGGATAAGTGACTTTCAGGCACAGGAGGATCCAGGAGCTCTCCTCTCTGTCTCTCCTTCTCTGGGCTTTGCTTTCCTGTATATTAGCTTTACTTTCAGGGGGGCCTCATGGTAGCAAGATGGCCACCAGGAATTCCAGCCTTGCATTCTACCACCCTCCCAACCCTAGAGAAAGTGAGCGCCCTTCCTAATGCCTTGCCGCCATCCTGGAATTGGTCGTTGTTGGTCCCGCTTGGGTGGCGTCTTCATCCCTGAACCAGTCATGGGTTGGAGGTTAGGTTCTCTGATTGGTTCAACCTCAGCCACTTGTCCCCCTCCAGTAGAGGAATGAGTCAGCAGGGCAGATGAATGTTGGGGAAGAGTGGCTCTGGAAGGGATATGGTGGTGGAGGGGAGGCATGCCGAAGGCCAGTGCATCTCTGCCCATTGCCCCTTTCCTCCTTTCTGCACAGGGGGTAATGCGGGCATCGCTGCTGCCTACGCCGCTGGGAAGCTGGGCATCCCCGCCACCATCGTGCTCCCCGAGAACACCTCCTTGCAGGTGGTGCAGAGGCTGCAGGGGGAGGGGGCCAAGGTCCAGCTCACTGGAAAGGTAAGGGCCCCGGGAGGGAAAACCGTCTGGAGTGGGCCGTTCCCCTTACTCCCCACCCCACCCCAAACGTCCTGTCTCCTCTTCCTTTCCATGAGCTGTGGCTGGGACACAGTCCTCTCTCAGGACAGCTGAGCTGAGTGGGGAATAAGGTGTGATGGGTGTTAAGGGCTGGGACCTCCTGACTTGCCCCTGCCCACCTTGAGAAGTACCCCCATGTGTGAACCAAGACAAATGGGAAGCCGGCAATGGACAGGAGACTGTCTCCGACATCCTCACCAGCACCTGGTACTGCCCACTTTGAACGTTCTTGCTGTTAGATAAGGTGTGAGGTATCAGGATGAGGGCAGTGTCAGTTCCTGTTCTGAGACCACCCAACAGGAATGGTGTCCGCTGAGGATACCGCCGGTTCCCCGTGTTACCAGAGAAACAGAGACACAAACACAGAGTCTTTCTTTCCTTCTGGGAAGAAGGAAAAAAATCATTCCAATAATGGAAAAAAGATTTTTAAACCTCTCAAAATTAAAACTAAAAGCCATACTATGGTACCTCAAAGCTTGTCCCAAATACTTACTGTATATAGTTTCCTCCCTCCCTCCCTCCCCCCTCCCCCTTCCCCCCTTCCTTCCTTCTTCCTTCCTCCTTCCCTCCCTCCCTTCCCCTCCTCTCCCCTCCCTTCCCCTTCCCGTCCCTTCCTTCCTTCCCTCTTTCCTTCCCTCCTTCCATCTTTCCTTCCCTCCTTCCTTTCCCCCCTCCCTCCTCCCTCCTTCCTTCCCTTCCCTTCTCCTTCCTTCCTTCCTCCCTCCCTCCCTCCCTCTATCCCTCCCTTCTTCTTTCCTTCTTTTCCTCCTTCCCTTCTTCCGTTTCTTCATCCATCTAATCATCCTTCCATACATCACCCTTTCTCCCTCCCCCTCTCTCTTCTTCTTTCCATCCATCTATCCATCCATCCATCTATTCGCCCACCCATTCATCCAACAGGTATTCATTGAGCACATATTCAGTGCCTGCTATGTTAGACATTCTAGAAACAGAGTAAGACATGGTCTTTACGCTCATAAATTTCGGAGCATTATGTGGAGACACACAGGTAACCAGATGATGGTAATAAAGTGCAAAAAATGTTTCCCTGGTGGAAGCACAGGGCACCAAGGACGTCAGTGAGAGGGCATGTTGTTTAATCAGTTATTGTTGCTTGGTAATGCTGCATAACAAACATCCCCTAAATAGTGGCAGCTTATGAGAAACATTGTTTCTCATGCTTTGGTTCTGTGGGTGGGTTAGAGTGGTTCTGCTTCAGGATGTGGGAAGGAGTGAGGTCTACAGATGCGCCCTTTGTCTTCCCCAGCCAGTGGCCACCTGGGGCACGTTGTTCTCAAGGGAAATGGCAACAGGGATGAGAAGAAACACATGATGCCTCTTAAGATCTTGGCCCAGAACTGTTACACTGTCAGTTCTGCCATATGCTGTTGGCCAGAGCAAGTCACACAGCTGAGACCAGCATCAATAGGGAGGAGACATGTGCTCCACCCATGCTAGTGAAAAGAACAGCAAAAATAAAATAAATAAAAAATAGGCCGGGCGCGGCAGCTCAAGCCTGTAATCCCAGCACTTTGGGAGGCCGAGGCAGGTGGATCACGAGGTCAAGAGATCGAGACCATCCTGGTCAACACGGTGAAACCCCGTCTCTACTAAAACTACAAAAAATTAGCTGGGCATGGTGGCACGTGCCTGTAATCCCAGCTACTCAGGAGGCTGAGGCAGGAGAATTGCCCGAACCCAGGAGGCGGAGGTTGCGGTGAGCCGAGATCGCGCCATTGCACTCCAGCCTGGGTAACAAGAGTGAAACTCCGTCTCAAAAAAAAAAAAAAAAAAAAATTGGGCCGGGCGTGGTGGCTCACGCCTGTAATCCTAGCACTTTGGGAGGCCAAGGTGGGTGGATCACCGGAGGTCAGGAGTTCAAAACCAGCGTGGCCATCATGGTGAAACCCCATCTTTAAAAAGAAATAGATAAAAAATCTGGGTACTGTGGCATGCTCCTGTAGTCTCAGCCACTCAGGAGGCTGAGTTGGGAGGATCACTTGAGCCCAGGAGTTTGAGGCCAGCCTGGGCAACACAGTGAGACCCTGTCTCTAACAATATTAACAATTAAGCCAATAGAGGGAGGGAGTGGAGAATTGGGCCATGGTCGAACCAATGGGCTGCGCCTTAGATTTGGGAAAAGGATCCAGGAAAGGCTCCTGTCACGGGTCGCCAGGGCTGGGTATGAAAGGAGAGATCTGAGTACCCACCACGGAGACAAGGGAGGTCTGATCTGGTTGTGAACACAGGAAAGGGTGTGGGTGAAGGTGTGGCCGTGGCTGAGCATGTCGCATTCAGGCTGAGCCCAGCATGAAGGGAGGGAGTGAAAGGTGAGGCTGAAGACGGGGAGAGGGGCTCCATCAGGCAGGGCGGCTTGTAGCTGAAGCTAAAGTGTTTCACCTGAGGGCACTAGGGAAGCATGTAAGGAGTCCAGCAGGGGAGGGACCTGGTTGGATTTTCACTCGGCCTGCTCTGGGGTGATTCAGGAGAGGAGCCGGAGAGGAGGCTGCTTGGTGCGCTACGGGTGAGGGATGTCAGGCACTGCACAGTTTGGAATCTATTTTTTTCTTTAGTTTTAACTTCAGATTCAGGGATACATGTGCAGGTTTGTTACATGGGTATATTTAATGATGCAGAGTTTTGGGCTTCTAATGATCCTATTGTCCAAGTAGTGAACATAGTACCTGACGGGTAGTTTTTTTTTTTTTTGAGGCGGAGTTTCGCTCTTGTCGCCCAGGCTGGAGTACAGTGGTGCGATCTCTGCTCACGGCAACCTCTGCCTCCTGGGTTCAAGCGATTCTCTCGCCTCAGTCTCCCAAGTAGCGGGGATTATAGGTGCCCACCACCATGCCTGGTTAATTTTTTTGTATTTTCAGTAGAGACAGGGATTCACTACGTTGATCAGGCTGGTCTGGAACTCCTGACCTCAGGTAATCCACCCACCTCGGCCTCCCAATGTGCTTCATTACAGGCGTGAGCCACTATGCCCGGCTGACAGGCATTTCTTTTCTTTCTCCTTTTTCTTTTTGAGATGGAGTCTTGCTGTGTCACCAAGCTGGAGTGCAGTGGTGCGATCTCGGCTCACTGCAACCTCTGCCACCTAGGTTCAAGCAATTCTCCTGCCTCAGCCTCCTGAGTAGTTGGGATTACAGGTGCGTGCTACAATACACTAATCTTTGTATTTTAGTAGAGATGGGGTTTCACCATGTTGGCCAGGCTGGTCTCAATCTCCTGACCTCGTGATCTGCCTGCCACAGCCTCCCAAAGTGCTGGGATTACAGGCATGAGCCACCGCGCCCGGCCGACAGGGATCTTTCAACCTCTGCTACTCTCCCTCTCTCCCCACTGTTGGAG